AGGGGGAAATGCTAGGGGGAAATGCTGGGGGGAAAGGCAAAGGGGGAAATAATGCAAAGGGGGAAATAATGCAAAGGGGGAAATAATGCAAAGGGGGAAATAATGCAAAGGGGGAAATAATGCAAAGGGGGAAAATGCAAGGAGGAAAAGCAAAGGGGGAAAAGCAAAGGGGGAAAAGCAAAGGGGGAAAGGCAAAGGGGGATACGAAATGCAAGAATGCAAGGGGAAATTAATTGCAAGGGGAAATGAAATGCAGCTCTAGAAAGGATAAAGGACGTCAAAACCCCACCAGCCTCTGCCTGCCCCTCAGCCTCATCTGCCACTGCTGGTTTGCCGTGATCGATTGCCATTGATATTGATAATTGCCGTTATCAGGCTTTTATTTTGGGAAATTACCAGAAATAACCCAGCAGCCATTTTTCCCTTCCCCCGAAGTTTACCGCGAGGCGGGGAAAGGCAGAATCTCTGCTCTCGCCTCCCCTCTGCTGGCTCCAGCAGCGCTTGGCTCACGGATGGTTTTGCTGCTCTATTTTAAAAGTGAAGCTCGGGGAGGACAAACAGAACAGAGGGGGAAAAGCCCACCAGCATTCCTCCCTCATGGCACAGGTCAGATTAACAGGGGGAAATTAATGCTAGCAGCTTTTAGGGAGATGAAATGCTTTGGGAATGAGCAGATGCATTAATTTGTAGCATGTGGCTTTAAGAGTTAATTTCAGTACCGGGAATCACATTCGTTCATCCATCCTTTGAGGAGGCATAGCCAGGTACAGGGCTTTGTGCAGTTCCCACAGTCTGGCCTAAAGGTATTTATAGTCTAGAGCTGGGGGAAAGAAAACACAGAAAAAAGGGATGGGATAAGGGAAACTGGGCTTTGGAAGCAGTCTGTGCAAAATCCACCAAGGCAGAATTGTCTCGTTAACAGAGGGAGCAATTTGAAATTATATGGGAAAGGTGGATAAAACCTGGAAAGCATAAGAGCCAGCTCTGATTTCAAAGTCCATGGGAGCATTCCAAGGCAGAGCTTTAAAATTAGAAACAGCATGCAAAGGTACTTTTCCATTGAAATGTCATGTTTTCCTTGAAAGGAGCTTTTTCCATCTCGAGAACGCGTTTTGTCACCGAGCAGTGAGTGCACTTCTCCCTACTGGCCTGCCGAGGCAAAAACCCTGGGAGAAAATGGACAATCACATCCAGGGGCTTGGCAAACAAACAAAAGCCAAGGAGAGAAGGGATTGAGCAGCACATTCCATCAGGGAGGTTTGCAGCTCATCCTGGGCTCTGGACACCTCTTGGCCCCTCTGCTCTCTGCTGTCTGTCCTGGAGCTGAATTCAGGTGTTGCCTGCAGAGCTGGGGTGAAATCACTTGTGCATGATCCAGGAGGGAGCAGATCCCATTCCCAGTTGTTATTTGGATGCAGGAGAACCCTTTGGTGGGCTCTCAGGTCCCTCTGTGATAGGGGGGATCCACCAGCACCTCTGAGCTGTGACAGCCACAGCCACCACCCCGATGGCCAGCACAGCCCCAGCTCTGCTGGACCCCGTTGTTTCCAGGTGATCCAAGTGCCAAACCCCACAAACACACCCTGAGGGACCCCCTTGTGTCCCCCCAACACCGGGTATGTGACAGTGGGGCCACCAACCACTCTGGCTGTGCTCATCCACAGAGAGCTGCAGGGGAGAAGAGGAAATTTAGGAAAGTGGGAATGTTAAAAGGAGATGCAAAACTCCAAAAAGTTCCTGGCTGTGCAGAGATCCCACTGCAAGGCTGAGCTCTCCAGGGGGACAAGAAGGGGGTGGAGGAAGAGCCCCTGTGCTGTGTCCCCTACAAAGAGCCCTGTCCTTCCGTGCTTTTCAGAGCAGCCACGAACACACGGAGGGAGCAAATTCCCGGGGCAGGGAGGATGCTGGGGGGCA